ATCACTTGAATGCTCTGGAGTTCAGTTATTATTGACCTTTTAGCATTAGGGTGTTTTATATCTGTTAGTGGCTTCAAGTCCCTAGGAAATGGTGATTAAGATCTTGTAAGGTGGGGAAGACTCTAAGTGGGAGTCCTCTCACTTGATGCAGCATTGGATTGCATTTTATTTTTCCTACTAACTAGGCTGCTAAACTTCTCTATGAATATAAAACAGTACTAAAGCAATAGCAGATATTGCATCCACAAAAGGAATATTAGATGCATTCTCCAACTAGTGTCAGTGTTTCCACTGAGTGCTTACTTTGGACCCATCAGCAGTACCTGCCCCAAGTTGTTATTAGATACAGAATTGCTAAAAAGTGAAGGAAGTACATGACTGTCTTCTGTCTCTTGCGTGTTGTCCTCTGTATCAATAGTTTTTGTTTCTTTCATTTTACCCCATAGGCCCGAGATAGGCCAATCACCACAAGCCTATACCAGTGTTATGACTCCAAGATATTGACTTCTATCCTCTATTGTATTGGCCAAACAAGACAGCCTGTGGACACCAACAGAATCTCCATGCTATGAACTCTCCCTGCTGTGTTAGCAGTGTCTGTCTTTTGCCTTTGCTTTGCCGGGAATTAAACTTTCCCCCACTTCCTATTAGTACCCTGGCTTTAGTTTGGACCTTGTTCTTACACAATCCAAACAGAAACTTTTTCTCTGGTACTCTTAGAGTGGCCCAGGATGTCTATAATTTCCTTATTGATAACTTTCTGCCCTACGTTCTGTGATCTGTGTATACTGGACACTAACATGGGGCATCTCAGCAGTTCTACCCAGGGTCCATTCCCAGGACGGAGTGGGTTTGTGTTCTCACCTCTGACTACTAGACTTCACATTCCTTTCTCTTGACACTCATGGCCCACTTGCTGAAGGTGCAGGTTTGAATCTCCTTGGTTGTTCCTAGATAATATCATTTTTTAAAAATTACACTATTGTGTTATTTTAACGAATAATTTTATATCTATTGCAAATGCAGCTGCATAGACAAAGAAACCTCTTACCATAACCATTTCAATGTTTGGACTTCTGTGTAGACAGAATAACTTTTCAAAAGCACAATGTCCCCTTGAGTATGTGGTTTGATATGAAAATAACAATCTTTAAATTGTTAAACTTAACATCTTGCTAAGTTGGCACCTTCTGTCCCTGAGGATTTCTTCTTTGATAACTCAAATGTATTGAAATTTTTATCTTTGTGAAGATTCTGATGCACATATGCTTACAACAAAAATACAGAGTATACAGCAAATGAGACCTAATACTGCTGCTCCTCTTTCTTCATAGATTTATTAAAAACTATTTTTAAAAATGCTCTAATATTTAAAAGAAAGACCAAACAAGCACTTTTGTGGCCATTGTGCCTGAAAAGGATCCTGCAATTGGAATTATTTTGAGAAAAAACTCTAAAGAGTTAGCTTTGTGTTTTATTTTTAACCATGACCATATTCTTGAAAATTTTAAAAAAGAAAGAGAGAATTGGAGCAGATGCAGACTTCACAGTAGCTTAATATTCTTCTTTTATGCCCTGAATACAGAGCATTGAGGCAAGAGCTCAGTGCAAAGTGCCTTCTTCCTTACCTATTGAGTTCCATGGATGGGAGGGGGAAAGCAGGAAACAAAACAAAACCAAACCAAACAAAAAAAAACAGGTAATTTATGGTTCACTTGCTTGTTTTACTCTTCTTTTTTTTCATTGAGTTTATCAGACAAATCATCTCATATGGTGAGTATAGAAATTGAGTTGAGTTTACGTATGTAGAGAAACTCAACAAGAGATAGAAAAACAAATCCGGGAAAATGTGTTGATCTCTTCAGCAATAATTAATTCTGCATTGAAACCTGCTCCTTTGAACTTTGGAACCAGGGCATGCTGAGCTTCTCTTTGGACCCCTTCTTTCAGCCTAGGCTTTTCTCTCCCCATGTTGCTTGCCTGAGCTCACATTTCCCCTCTCCATGGCTACTGTTCATATCTGAGCCCTGTTTATCTATTGATAGAAGCTGACTGGAAATTACTTGGTTGCTGCATTTCTCCACTTGGATTACCTAAAGCAGAACTGGATTGTCCTGTGTGTGTGTGTGTGTGTGTGTGTGTGTTCATCTTCCAGGCTGTGCCATGGCCTTCCAATCCATGATGTCTTTTGGTTAAATGTACATCAAACAAGAGAGACAGTGCAGATCTACGTAGCATCACATACCTAGGACTTTCCTAAAGTTAGAGGGGTAGTGAGAAGGAATATTTTCCCTGTGAAAATAGAAGGGAAACCTGGTCAACTACTCCATTCTCAGTGCCTGGGTCTAGGCATGGCTCCCTGATTACCATCTACCCACTTAGATTCCAGAGAATGGTGTCACGGCCTTACATATACACATGGTATGAAAGTTAATATCCATACCAGGCATGTCCAGAGACATGACGCAGCTGTGCATGCATTCTAGATGTTACGTTACAGTGTATAAAATGACTGCAACAACACACATGTACCACAGATGTCAAGATTCAATGAGATAATGTCTGACATATTCTTTGATAAGCTATAAAGTTCTGCATCAAGAATAAAGCTAGCTCCAAGAGAAACCAAGAAAATAAACAATGAGGACTGACGGCTGTTCCCAGCACCATGGTTGTAGCAGGTTTTACACACAGGACTATTCCCTAATTCTTCATCAACAGCATATTTCTACCCTAAGCAAAGCTGCTTTTTTTTTTTTTTTTTATAGGGCACTGTATAAAGAGCTGAATAGAACACCAGTTTCTGTCTACAAAGCATTCAAGTTCGGATTAATTTGAGAAATCATTACATATAATTCATTTGATCACCATGAAGGAGAAAATAAGGGCATCATGAGAATTGCCTATCTGAAGGACTCCATAGCTCAATTTGCTTTCTCAGACCCCTCTCCTGGTTTGAGTGGACCCTTTTCTACATGTTAGAGTTTATCCTTTTGGCTCAGATTTGTTTAAGCATGCCTCCTCATGCACCAGAACCAATCCGTGTTGTGGAATGGGTGAAGCTCGGAAAAGCTTCCTGTACATTTGTCAGTAGCAATCCTTGCAGGTTGGACTCCTAGAGAAAGCCTAAATCCCCATAGGAAGTCATTAGCTTAGTATGTCATGACCATGTCATGCGTTTGGGGGCGTTCTGGTTGTTTAGTAAACTTACCTTTCCCCAAAAGTTTTAGTGTACACCAGTGTATCTCATCCCATATATCTGGAAATGTGAACAAAGCTATAAATAATTAAACAGCCTTGGAAATCTAATTTAACTAACAGTCCTCATTTTACAATTTCCTCTAAGACTTCATGAGAACAAATGATTCACATAGCTGTTTGGTAGGTGTGAGAATGAAGCTCTAATAACTTACTAAAGATGGTGAGCTAACAATAACTAGTTACCTGCACTCAAAGCCAGGTGTCCTTTCCCTCTAGCTACTTCATGGGTTGAGCCCTGCAAGTTGATTAATGAGCCCCACATTCGATAAGCTGAAATCCTGCAAGCATCAGCTGCGAGGTAGCACCTGAGCTGTTAGAAAACTTTTCCATTCACTAAGTAGTGCCATTTGTAAATTTCCATTAGAGAGAGACCATGAGCAAGCTGTATAAATAGCTAGAAATAATTCAAGAGAAATAATCTAGATCAATCTAATTTTCAGACAAAATGAAGATGTTCACTTCACCAAGGTGAAAAACATGGAAACAATCTGAACATTCACCAATAGGTGAATGATTATATAAAGCATGTGATATTTGCTCCACGGAATACTACATATTAATTAAAGTGATGATGTAGATTTATATTAACTTGTTTAAAAATTATGATGATATTACTTATATATAAAAGCAGCTCCTTAAAGTATTTTCTAATTAATTTCATATGCAAAAAAATATTTGTGCATAGTAAAATACTGACAATAGTTTTACTTGGTTGGGAGAATTTATGTATTATTTCATTCTTACATAAGTGAATAGTTAAATAAAACTCTTTTAATTTGGCCTAAGGGCAACATATGGCATTTTTCTAAAAAATGATGTGTGCAAGGCAGGCAGTGAAACCACTGAGCTAAATCCCCAGTCCATAACCTTTTCCACTGGTGGGAGTACAGACTGGTACAACCACTGTGGAAATCAATATGGAAATACCTCAGACAACTAGGATTAGAGGTTCCATTTGACCGAGCTATTCCTCTGCTAGGAATCTTTTCAAAAGACTTAAAAGAATCATAGCACAGTGATATATGTTCACCTATGTTTATAGCAGCATAGTTTGTAATAGCTAAAACTTGGAAATAGCCCAATTGCCCATCAGTTGGAGACTGGATAAAGAAGATGTGATTTTTCTATAAAATGGAGTATTACTCAGCCATAAAGAATGAAAAATTAGAGTCATTCATAGGAAAATGGATGCATATTGAGGTCATACTCTTAAGTGAAATAAATAAGTCACATATGTGTAAATAAGTTTCTCTGGTATGAAAAACTAAAAGTGTAAATAAGATCCAAATGGTATAATTGACAATGTGAAATAGGAAGAAAAGGGATAAAGGTGTAGGGGAAGTGGAAAGGGCAGGGGAAAGGAAATAAGGGAAAAGAAAAAAATACGAGAAAATGAACAAATGGAAACAAAGTTTTTTGTAAATAGGGAAGGGAGGACGGGGTGAAGGGAGGGCAGGGGTATGGGGAAAAAATGAGAACCAAGACCTGTCATGTAAAGGTACAAGATCCCAATTATGGATGTAATTGTACTGTATACCTAAAAATACCAATAAACTCAATGAGAAAAAAATGTGTGCAGAAAGGACAATTCTAAAGTCCTACAATACGTATGACTTCTGCACATGCCTGTTAAACTCTTACATGGGTAACACATATTTTTAACCTATATCAATGAATACATGTTTTGCTGGTCCTGGATATACATGTATGGAAATCTGCTTTGATTAGTATGGTCTCACCTTAGTCTGTATAGTTGTCTCTGTTTTGAGTTCCTCAGGTTCTAATCACCTCATTATGTTTTTGCCTCTTCTGAGTGACCATGCATGATTTCCTTCTGTCTTCCTGATGCTTAGCTTAAGGTCTCCGGATACATTGAAAATTCCATGAATGCTCCAAATGTAAATCTTTGTAAGGTACTTGATGCCTGAGAAATTAAGGAGATGCCTCAATAAACCAATAAATGACACTGCCCAGAAATTAGCATGTGCATATCAGGTCCGTGAGCCAGGGTGCTGGGTAAAGACCTGAGAGGTGAATAATAATAGCAGTGGCGGAGAGTGAACAAGTATTGTCACAAGGGTTTCAAATTAGAGAGCTGCTCTCCAAGCCCAGAGGGTCAGGCTTGCCTCAAGTCCATATTGAGAGATAGATGCTGTATCAGTCGCTTTGCTGTGACTACATTGAAACACCTGAAGTGAAATACCTTTATTAGAGAAGGGGTTACTTACCTCATACTTCTGGAGGTTCAAGACCACAGGCCCATATCTGGTGAAGCCTTCCTGCTGGCAGAGTTCCAAGGTGGCACAAGGCATCACACAATAAGATACAGAGGATGGATCTAGACACATGCATTCGGATTGTTGCTTCTTATAAAGGCACTCCTCTTCCGTCATGGGATTCCATCCCAAGGACTTCAATCCTAATCGCTTCCCAAAGGACCCATCACTAAACACCGTAACAGAATTAGGTTTCAGCACTCTTACTGCCTCACAGTAGGGAACGCATTTCAACACATGGCCCTTCAGGGAACACACTCAAACCATATCCATACCACAGCAGATGCTTTGCATCCCAAGTGCCTTTATTTTAGTCTTTCTGTACTTGTTCCATAATTACTGAGCACCATACTTCAGAATCAAGGGTAGTGGGTTGAAAGCAACAAAATGTCTCTTAACTTTATTTTTTTGGATGAAGTTTGTTCTGCTCAAAGCAGATAGAGGGATATTTTAATAAGTTGAATTCTTATTTATTTTTTAGTTAACTACTGTTAAGCTTTTTTTTTGCTCTTGGACTTCATATGGTTAGAATTACATGGTACATGAATTCTCTTGTGTCTGATTTCTTTTACTGAGCAAAACATGTTTGAGATTCATTTACATCTTTCTGGGCTTCACTGGGTTTTTCCTTTTACATTGCTGTACCACTTTTTTCAAAAAAATTGATATACCTGTTGGTGGATAACTAGGTTATTTCCAGTTTGGAGCATTTTCAGTAAAACTGCTGTAAATTTTCTTGAACAAGGGTTTTTGTGGACAGTTTAATTTTTCTTGGGTAAATAACTCTACAAGTAGAAGTAATGAGTCACAGGTTGCCCCTAGAAGTTGATGAAGGCGAAAGTGCACTGAGAAACCTTACTATGGTGATGTCATATGCCAGACCTTGAGAAAGATTTGATTATACAGGTGTACATATATAGCAAAGCTTATTGGATAGATACACTTAAAATTATGCATCTCAATGCATACGCAAATTTCTCCCAAATGAAAGAAACCATAAAAACATTGAACTTTAATTAATGTTATGATGCTGAAATATTTAGGAAGAATAACAGTGTCATCTGAAGCAATTTAAAATGCCACAAAAATAAGGTAGGTTGATGAACAATAAATAGATGGCTGAGTAGATATTTGCTAAAACAATAGGAAAATAACTATAGAATATAAGTGATGAGTACCTGGACAATCACTGTATTGTACATTCAAATTTTTGTAAGATTGAAAATTTGCATTGTTTAATGTGAAAATCTTGGGATGTGGAAATATCATCATTTCTCTCTCTGCACAAAATTCTACAGTGGCTTTGTAGCATATTCAGAATAAAGTTTAAGGAACATATTTCAGACTATGAGATGTGACACAGTATGGTAACTGGTACAGCTCTGATGTCATCTCCTACACTGACACTTTCAGGCCTTTTCCCAGTAACAGCGGTTCCTTTACTATTGTTCCTTGTTCATCCCTAGCCTACTGTAGACTCAGGGCTTCCACATTTACTGTCCTGTCCACAGAGGAAACTCTCATCCCGGGGCTTTGGCCACCACCTCTGGTAGCCATTAAGTCAGTCAGACCCGCTAAGTGGCCTTTCCTTTAAGAAATCTTCCCTTCCACTTTATCAATCTTGCTCCCCTATCAAATTAACAACAAATGCTATAATTTTAAATATATTTGCATTTCACTTATTTTGCTTCTTCGACTTCTGTGTGAACAACTTGACGACTGGAATTTCATCTCCTTAGTGGCTCTAGCAGCTCTTAGAAACATTTGCAGCCACTCAAGATATATTTGTTGCCAAATAAGTAAATGAGATGTGTCCATAATGCCATTTTTCAAAATAAATACATGTCTTTTTACTTTTTACAATAAAACAGATTAGATTTACCAAAAAGTTGTGACTACGCACAGTTCCCAATGTAATTTACATCTATTCTACCTCAGTATTAACTAACATCTTACATTCACATGGTACATATGCTGAAATTAATGACCCAGTATTGATGAATTTTTATTAACTCAATTAAGTCTGTATTTTATTTAGATTTTGATATTTTTATCTAATGTTCTTCTTCTGTTCCCCAAAACCATCCACTATGCCATATTATTCAGTTGTCCTGTATCCTTAAGCTGTGGATTGTGACATTTTGTCAGAATCTCTTTGTTTTGATGATCATGAAATTTTAAGGAGTCCTGGATAGGTATTTTGTAATATGCCTTTACAGGGAATTGTCCATTGGGTGTTTACAAGACACACATTAGCTTGAGAAAATCTGGTTCCTTTAGGAACTATGACTTATAGTCAGTGATCCAAAACATTTGTTGAATTATAGAGAATATTACAAGTCTGGTCTTGTTTAGTTGTCTTACATATCCTGTGATAAGGGATGCATTTCTATGTCCATCCTGCGCAGGAGAACACTGAATTTCCAAAACTGTAATTATTTGAGCCTTCATCACATAGATACTTGGCTGAGAACTCTAACCTGAGGCTTCTGAATATAGACCCTACTCCCTTCTTATCTCTCCCCTCTGCCTCTACTGCTCCCAGGCTCTTGACACCAACACAACCTGCCCTTTGCTGAAAGCTGCCCAAGCCTGAAAAAGTTCAAAGACATATGATACCATCTTTCTCTACTTTGCTGCTTTCAGGCACATCAGCAGTACTGACCTATGTTCATCTTTTCAGCACTGAGGCCCTAGACCTGAATGCCTCTACACCTAACTCACACATCATATAAAATGGATGCATGTGAATGATGGTTAGTGTACATGATATTTTGGTCCCTTGTGTACTTTTGCAATATTGCGTAATTCAACGCTATTTGAAATAAACCTTTTCAAAATTTCCTTAGCACACCACTCAAAGCCATAGGTATGGGTAACAAATAAGCAGTTTCGAGCAAATAGATGATGGGTGTACTGTGCAGAACGTGATATCCTCAAGGCAGGAGGAAAGAAAGGAACATGGAAGGCCATCCCACTGCGAGAACATCTTCCCACACACATAGTGCCCCACGGTCCTTTTGAAGGCTTACTGTCATTACAGATAAAAATGTATCACATATTCTGACTCACCACTAAGAAGATCTATTAAGATTAGCTCCCATTTCTGAATAAGGAATAAAGCTAATTTTAGGTCCTTATAAAATATGTGTTCATAAAGAAACTGGTTTGAAAGTCATGAATCAGAGACTTCAGATCTGTAAGTCTTCTGCTCAGGAGAACATCTTCCCTGGAAAGTATTTTAGAGTGGGACCCAAGACAGCCACACGGAATCAAATACTCAAGGGGCAGGAAGGCAAGACTGATATACATTGGCCTTGTTTTTCTTTATAAAAAATGTTAAAGCTTTTAAAATATTTGTCCTTTTGGTGTAGAGTCATGTTTCCATTTTTGTAAACAACATGCATTTGAGCACTTGCTAGAATACCACCTCTTAGTCACTGAGAGATTGACAGAAGAGATGTAAGACTTTGAGAAGGGACCCAGCTGTGGGCTCCCAAACAGACTCTCAGAAGATGTTACCTTCACAAATTTGGTTTCTATACACTATGCATTGTTCATTGATTTTTCTGAGGATTTTCTCTTCTGTAAACCTAGAAATTCTACATAAATATCCTAAAATTCTCCAGAAATGGACTCCACTATATGGCCTACTCCAGTGTGTTTCTCTCTCTTCCTCTCTCTCTCTCTCCTCTCTCTCTGCTCTGTCTCTCTCTTGCTCTCTCTCTCTCTCTCTCCTCTCTCTCTCTTGCTCTCTCTCTCTCTCTCTCTCTCTCTCTCTCTTTCTCCCTCTCTGTGTGTGGCTTGTATACCAGCTGGGATACTATATCATGCTATGCTTTCAAACTTTCAATTCCATTTTCTTCCCAGTTTATATGACTTGTTTTCTCTTTAACTCTTTCTTCCATCTGGATCATAAACACATTAGAATTTTATAATTATTGAATGCAATAAATTATACGTTAATAAGATAGTTACAGCTTGTGAGAAGAAGTTATTTGTGATTTGCACTTAGAGAGATTTTAATCAAGTTTACCATTCTCAAAAAGTCTGTTTTGCATATAAATAAGGACCCCTAAAAATCGATCTGTTTTGCTCAATTATAAAATGCTTCATTTAGAAACCTAAGGGTAATTTATTATACTGAATTGGAGGAAAGGAAGATGTATTGCATTATGTTTAATCTTATCAAACGGCTGCTATATTTAATGACAGTGTCTGTTTATCATAATTATTATAAGTTGTCTAGGTTAATAAAATCAGAAGACCTATGTGAGATTTTCAAATGCTAAATTCATTATTTACATACCGTCTCATGCACCAGCTGTCCCTTGTGGCTGAGTAGGCATCCTGTGTTTTTGATTTCTGCCCAGACAACTGGAGGACTCTGTCTGTAAAGTAGACTAAGGAACCAGGCCTTTAAAAAGTTGTACAATGAAGTGGGTATAAAATAAAAATGTAGAACAAAATAATCTGTGACCATTGACAGTTATCTTATAAACTCCTTTGCTTCATAATTACAATGTGGTTTCTAGACAACCCAGCAACAGGGGCACAGTTCTTGGTCTCTTCTTATCTCCTAAGTCACCGTGTGGGTGCAAAAGGTGAGTGTGTAGCATCATCTATCTTCCTGTCTCCTAAGTATCCTGGGCAAGCATATCACTATCCAAATTGAAAACTTAGGAAACTAAGGCTTAGGGAGGTAAGGAACTTGATGGAAGTGTTCTGCTTTAAACTTTTTTCTGATTTTTCCACAGTGGACGACTGTGGCTAATGGTGAAGATGAAGGGCAAGTGCCAGGATGTGACTGTGACTCCCAAAGTTAAACTGCTGCAAACTTAGCTCCTAATACAATGGCACTGAAAGGGGAGACCTAGAAGAGATGAGTAGGTCCCTCGAACACTGCTGTTGTGAATAGATTCATGATGTTACCACGTCTGTTTTTATTTTTGTGTTTCTTTTTCAAGAGTGAGCTGGTTGTAAAACTGAGCTCGGCCCTCTCCTGCTCTCTCACATTTACCTTGCAGTGCCCTCTGCCCTATAATGGCACAAAGAGCAAGCCTGCACTGGTGAAGCCCCTGCATCTTAAACTTCTCAGCTTTCAGGACCATGAGCCAGGTCAACTTGTATTATTTACTAATTACTCAGTCCGTGGTACTGTGGTATAGAAGCAGAAAGCGAACTAGGTCAGCAGGTGAAGGAAAGTGTTTGAGACTCAGAATGGGAAGCCTGTGGTTCTGTTCTTGCCTTCTCAGCTTGGTAATGTTGGATAAGCCACAGTTCTTTTATCATTCAAAACAAAAGCATAAACATGTAACCATCTCTTCCTTATCTACCTCCTGTGAGAGTGACAGTTGACAGTATGGCTACAGTATCAGACATACAGTATATATCCCCAAAATGCATTGCTTTTATGGAAAAAAAATCATTAAAAGCATCATCCACAAAAACAAAAAAGGTAGTCCATGTCTTCCAACTTCACAATCACAACTAGAAGCCAGCAGAAGCTTATCCTGTTATTTTCTTCTGCTTTAACTTGGGAAGACATCAACTTTCAGGAAAAAAAAAATTATTGGACACCAGTTGGAAAGTCTTTCAAAGACTTGGTTCACTGACTCGGCAAGTTCTCCACCCATAGAAGCTCCACTAGTCTGTGCTGAGTGTTTGGCAACTGACGTTTCGATAAATGGAGGTATGAAACCATGCATTAACCATGCATTCAGTTACAGGAAAGACTTTATGAGCCTTTCCCTACCTCCAGTTATGCTTACATAGAAGGAGAAATCATCATAGTAGCTTCATTTTCAAATAAATGATGTGTTTGCCAAAATATGATTGGTATTTGCAATAAAAATATACATAACCGATTTAAACTGGAAGGAACATTTCTAGGACATGTTCCTCAAAACCCTGATATGAGAATGATTAGTTGGGGTGGGAGATGATCTAGTTAAGGATACAGGAATGCAGTGTCTTGCTCAGTTTATATTTAGTTCTCAGATCTTGTCCAGGAAAACACTGTGGAATTAAAAGGAGATGAAAGATAAATGAGATATGGGTGAGGCAGGAACTTGGGAATTTTGTCAGCCTCCTTTAAATCCCTTGCCCAGCACTACCAGAAGCCACATTCTTGTAAACCTTGAAATTCCTCTTAAGGTTTGTTCTTCTCCGTTTCTGCAGAAAGGACCAAGTTTACAACTTACTTTTTTTTTTCTGGAACTCTTACAAAACTTCCCATTTTCTTTCCCTACATTTGGTTTTGCCCACTTCAATCTATCCTTGAATCCACATGCTAGAACCATTTTGACTCTGAGCAAGTATGGTCCTCTCTGTCCATTCTTGTCCATTATTAAATATCAGGATCAATAGGAAAGCATCCAAAACATACTCAGCTTTAGAGATTCTAACTTTATTCGTTTGAATTAGGGTCCAAGTATTGGTTTACAACTGCCCAGGCGATTTTAGCATTAGGTCTAAAACCTACTGGTATAATTCTGTACAAATCATCTTCAGTATATGTGTACACTCTTAATATGACCTGTGAACACGTTCCAGGTTGGGCCTCCGCTTACTTCCTTTTATCCTTATCACTAAGCATAAGATTTTCCTCCTTGATCATAAAATTTTTCTTTTATTCCATGGCTCTTTTTCTTCTATCCTTTAGGAATATCCCTTCATCTGAAGGGAAAGAATATCCCTTCATAGTCAACTTACTTACCTTTAAGTGCTCATATATATGAATATTTGTCTGATCTTTCCCACGCACTATGTTTCTATACAGTGTGTTGACTGATCCCCTTTTTATCCTTCATTATACTGGTGATTAAATGCATGTAGATCACAAATATGTGTTTGTATGTGGGTGATTAAGTCTGATAAACCAAATCCCTCCTGTTCATGTTTGTTTGTCTAGGTTAGCACATAATCAAAGGATAAGTAGTTTTGGTGAATAGATAATTTAATGAAGGATTTATGATTATTTATACTTACATGAGTTTGAATAATGTAACTAATGTCCATTCAGATAACGAGAAGTTCTAATAGATATTTAGAAAAAGATGCTATGATAAATGCCCCAAAGCATTGGTTTGCTCTTAGAAAGATTTAAACATATGCACTCAAACTCCCTTTTTTCTTACTTTTGATATAAAAAGATTTTATATGTTTTTCTTGTGAAAAAGATAAAGAGAGATATACAAGACCAGAAGGCCTAGCTGTATCAAGAAGGTATGCAGAAATGATTTATCAAAAACATATATATGTTTGTTTGTTGGTTTCAAGTTTGTTATGAAAGGTTTACATTTATAGGCATAAAGAGTTTTCATTTCTTCTGATTCTGATCCTATGGGAGATCTCTGTTAATTGACTTTCCAAAAGTTGTCTTTTTTTCCATTAAATTGATGGTACATTTAAAGCAAACAATACGGTTACATTTATCATTGGGATCTTGTACCTTTTCATGATGTATCTTGGTTCTTGTTTTTTCCCCATACCCCTGCCCTCCCTTCAACCCCTTCACCCTTCCCTATTTACCAAGACTTTGTTTCCAGTTTTTCATTTTTTCACATTTTTTTCTTTTCCCTTATTTCCTTTCCCCTCCCCTTCCCACTTCCCCTTTAGCCATTTTCTTCCTATTTCACATTACCAATTATACCATTTGAACCTTATTTACACTTTTAGTTTTTCACACCAGAGAAACTATTCGGTATTTATTCAAGTGTGTCCTGTTTATTTCACTAAGGAATATAGGCGCAATGTGCATCCATTTAGCTATAAATATTTCTAGTTTCTCATACTTTATGGCTGAATAGTACTTCGTTTTATAGAAAAAACACATCTTCTTTATCCACTCTCCAGTTGATGGACATTCATATTTATAGTGGCACAGTTTGTAACAGCTAAAACTCGGAAATAACCCAAAATTTTTGACTAGTGTTATTTATAATTATAAACCTAAAATTTAGTACTGCCTTTTGAAGAAGTGCTTCAGGTATTGGCAAAAGCAACCATTTTAGATCAGTGCAAAGCATTCTGGGTAAAAGGGTGTGGGCTCACTAACCCTCACATTGTGCTGTACAACTGAGGTTTTCCTGTGGAGACATTTCCTTTTGGAGTGACCTGACTTCTGCTTCCACCTCTGCAGTAGCTCCACTGTTTAGCAGCAGGAGAACTGCCATGGATTTCACCTTAGAAGCCTTTTTCAATCAGGGCTCCACGGGACAATAAGTTCTAATTTGTTAAAGGTATGATATACAAAATATACTCCTTGGATCAGAACTACCAGTATTACCAGAGCATTAGTTAAAATGCAAGTTCTTAGGCCCCAGTCAGACCTACTGGATCAGAAAATTGTAAGGTGCCCTGTTAAATCTGATAACAAGCCTTCCAGATGATTCTAATGGATGTTGTAGTTTGAGAAATACTGGTCTAGAATGACCACTGACAGGCAATGACAGGGCCAGGAGGTGTGTGTGTGTGTGTGTGTGTGTGTGTGTGTGTGTGTGTGTGAGAGAGAGAGAGAGAGAGAAAGAGAGAGTAGTATGTAAGAGAAGCTTAACAATTTCAGTTCCAGGGTTACCCCTTTTCACTCATTCAGTGGGCCTGGAATAGGGTCTTGCAATCTGTACTGTATCACATGGTCTCTTGGTTATTTTATCCTGTACTCACAGGAAGGGATAAAGGGACTAGATGAGCTGAGTCCTTTGCCATTCAGAGATTTTGTCCTCTTTTGGCCATCACTCTTTACTTCCTCCCTTGTCTTCTCCTGCAGGTGACATTATGTCACTCACAGGGCCTAAGATTTGCTTGCACATTAGAATCACTTGAAAAGTGAAATATAAAAATAAACAAACAGGAACCAGACCTATTTAGCACAGGTAAATCAGCATCTACTTGTAGGACCTAAATATTGCAAGACAATGTCAGTCAGAAAGCAGGCAATGTGAACCTGAGCCGTGTGTCATATTTAAGCCACAGTGGAGTGTGAGATATATATTTATCTGGCCAGAGATCAGAGGCTCTGTGAACCCCAAGCCAACGTCCTCAAATGAGGGAGGAGATAGATCTGACTCAAGTGGAATCAGATTTTCCATGGGAATTTGAAACTTGAGTGTGAATAGAGTCCATCAACTGAGGCTGTGTACACAAGAGTCTCTTCTCGGTCATGTTCTAGAAAGGTCTGGAAAATGCTGCCCATGCAGCAACCCTGATTTTTCCCACTCAAGGCTGGGCTGTGATTCTCCAGCAAAGTTATTATCTTTCCATCAGGAGTGCAACATTTCTCTAGTAAGTTGAAGTTCTTTAGTTTGCAGCCCAATGGACTTTAACTAAGATACTTTTGCCAGTTATTGGTGGTATGAATTTGGGCAAGTAAGCTTGCATGTAAACTTAGCTGGACTGTCCCTCAGCTATAAAATGAGGCTACTGATTCAGATTCATGGTTTTTTAAAATCATAGAATAATTTTAAAAATTTTTACAAAACAGGTTGTAGGAAACTTGAATAAATAAGATAAGGAAGGAAAGTGATGATAATTTCTCAATCTTTGCTATTTTGCACAGCAACTACTGAGAAGTGCTAAGTTTTTTAAGAGTACAGACAATATCAAAGTGTTATCTTTCTGTAGTTTTGTGATACCTGATTCAGAGGCCTGAGTCACAAACAACTGAAGTTTCCTATTTTAGAGCCAGATTCTGCTGGATGGAAAAGGCCATTAATGGAACACATAAAATGGTAAATGACATCCATGTGAAATGTAAATGTAGAAAGTGCTTCTCCAGAAGATCTTTTAAAAGGAAACTGATTGAACTAATCTATTTTTTTTTTTTTAGTTATAGAAAATTCTGTTTTAAAATAGCACTTGTGTTATTCTGGAATATTTGGTCACCTCTTGAGTGTTGTCTCTGAAGTCTTCCAGGACACAGAGTTAAAACCCATGGAAAGGTCAAGAAAGCTCTCAGTTTCCAAATTAAATTGCTTGGAAACACACTTCCGTAGGAAGTTGGGTTTTGGGAAACCTGCTGTGAAAGTTAGCAAATGAAATGTAAAATGTGTGAAGTTTTCAGCTTCAGAAAAAGTACCGATTTTAAAAGATTGTGGCATTTTTGCTTTACCAAATGAGGCCCTTTTGGTGGACTTAAATATATCTTTTGCATACTCTGGGGCTTAAATGAAAAATCTTCAAAATATCATTCCATTAAAATCTTCCCACACTGCTAAAAATGTAGAGGTCATGACGTAGGTTATTTCTAGCAGCAATCCTGCATGACATTTCTGTCTGTTACTGCGGTCACAAAGGAGAATACATATCAATCCAATAATGCTTATGGTGAACATACTATGTGCAGGAACATCTGGTGTGCATTCCCATGACCTCAGCCTACTCCACCTCCACATTTCGCTGCCAGCCTCGTCCTCAGCATGGTCCTTTGATCATTTCCCTGCTCCTTTGCTACAACTGGTCTTGGCAAAGGCTGGAAATAAACTCTTCTCCTAAAATGCCCTGCACAATGGAGGTGATGTCATCTCTCATGATTGAGCTTTCTGTTATGGGCTTGGATGGTAGTCATTTTCCTTTTGTTAATGCTCTCCATCTCCACCATCGTTGACTCTGCCTTCTCTGAGTTATTTTCCCTTCCTGTGAATGACTGTGATCACTTCTTCTTCTTCTTTTTTTGTTTTTCAGTCCTTCCCATAAACACTGGCACCTCCCTGTATTCTTTATGTGGGCAGCTATTTTAACATGCACTTGTGCTCTCTTTGTGTAATCCTTCTAGATATCAAAGCCCATCTTCCTGAGATTTAGGATGCTACCTCTAACAAACTGGGTGGCCAAAAGATGGTCAGTGCTGAGGTATCAGAATGTGGGATCAGGACTCACCTGGTAGCACCTTTGGCATGTTTACTAACTGCTCTGATCTCGGTTTTTATATATTTAAAAGTGCTTTCAGGATTATATGGAGCTGCATATACAAAGTTTTTAGCACTATGTATGACATATACCACATTTCCTTTCAAGTT